AGCTAAAACGTTACGTGCTTACACTATTGTTCGTTTATTTGTATATATTCAGCCCCTAACTATCTTTGGTTTAAAAAACTGCGTCATAGTCAAACAATCAACTTAAAAAAAAAGATTCATCTTAAAGTTGTCCAACTACTTTTAACTGAACTTCTAGACAAACAAACAGTTTAGTGCTTCCTCAGTTGCTTATTACAAATTTAATATTTTATATAGTTTTTAAATATTTTCAAATTCAAGCATTAACATTTCATCAGGACAATTGTATTATTGACATTCTTAACTATTCTTGAATTATTGTCATTATTCATTCATCGCCAGGCATCGATAGAACCAGGCTGTGTTCTGAAAAACTGCACCGAGTCCCTGGAAATTTCGGTATTTCCCCTCATGTGGAAGGAATCTTACATTATTCCTCAGCATAAAAAATGTTCCAATAACACAGTGCGACAGTGATTTGGAACTTTTGAAGAGACCTAGTAGGAATTGTTCATTAGTTCAAGTTCAAGTTTATATAGTATAAAACCATGTTTGGAATTTTTCTAACACCCTCAAAATCTTGATTTATTTAGAAGAAACGGGTTTTCGGGACTTTTTTGCTCCTAAAAATTCCTAAGCGCGTAATTTTAAACCGATTTTAAAATGTTAGACGTTTTTTAATAGTTAAATGTTGTAGCTTTTGAAAAAAAAATAGATATTTAATTTATTTCAACAAAAAGGATACAATTTTTACGCAAGAAACTGATATTTTTGAATTTTTGTCGTGTTTTTCAGACTACGCCATTTTTTCGGTACTACTTCCAAGGAATGGAGAGAAACTTCCAATTTCATTAGGAAATTATGAAAATTGTTGAAGTTGTAACGCTTTTCCCAAAAAAAGTCAGTGCAATTTTCATAGCGCTCCGGAGTATTAGTGTGCCCTTCCATTTCGCTTATTTCTTTCTTACACACTTTTAAACTTTTACATCACCTTTGTGGGTCAAAAATTTCTTTTTGCTTGCATGGTTTCATGAAGCCCCGCTCCACTACCACTGACTTGGTTGAGCTAGCTTCTTTTGTCATGGATGGATTTCGGCGTGGCTCTCGAAAAAGCGCTCACGAAAATTCTGTAGAATGAGGGTGGGTGTCGTTTTATAAGACAACCTTATTAATGGTGATGTATACAGCCCGCAATTTTCAAGTTTAATTTAACGTTCCTAGTAGAAGGACGATATTCGTATGACCTTCTTTTGTTATTGCAGTTCGACATATGCCCAGCATGATCCCTTTGGGGTATTATGTTGGGACTACAATTCTCCACACTTTTTTTTAAATTCGGATCTTTCCCCACGATTCGAACCGTACATCATGCGGCGTTTCACGTGTCGCCAGAAAGTGAGGTAGGCTCTACTTAAGCAGTAAAAACCGTCCACAAAAAACTAGCTGCCGGCCTTTTGAAGAAACTCTTTAAATGTGATTTGAAGCCAAGGCCGGTAGCGTTTTGCTCCCACTGATCTAAAGGTTGGCTCCATCTCGGTGTACACTAAAGGTAAAGTAATTTCTGTTTCTTGGCGAAACAAGTATATAAATATAATTTGGCTTCGAAATATTAAAAAACTATTATATTATATTATGTTCCACGTTTCGTGACGTTCACCGTCTCTCATCCAGCAATTCGAAATATTAAAAAATTTAATATAGCTTAAAATTTTTACGCGTACTTATAAAGATAAATTTAACTGCGGGGCAACCTTTTTGGAGGAACCTCTCTGGAGCATCTTTTTGCTTGAGAAGTTTATATTTTGTATGGTAAGTGTTTTAATCAGTTAACTTGGTCGGGAAAAGTTAGCTTTATTTTTGTCTTCCAACGGTGTAATAAAAACTGCTTAACTGATTGTATTTATTCGTTATACGGCGCCACGTGAAACGTCTTGCAAAATATTGTTATCACATATTCATTTTGCCTTCGACGGTTTGGTCATTGAGTTGGGGCCTGTCCTCCAACTCCATTCGTAAGGGGCAAGGTACAGCTTAATCCGTCCCGCTTGAAGTTCTCCATCGCAGGCAGGGATCAACTCCATAATTTTGGCCAGTGGTCACATCCAAAGCCACCAACGTCATGTATCGCTGCGCCTGAAACTCCGCCATAATTGCTCGCGGCGAATACGATCTGTCCCACTGTGCGCTCAGAACCGTAGGAAGCGTTGCGGAACATATATACGTACGAATACGTCTATGCGCATTGCACTTGCATGTGGAACGTATGTTTATAAGATTGTATATTTTTTTCGCGGGTCTATTATTTTTTAAATTGTTAATTATATTAACTAAATCACCTCGAGATCCCCAATGTTTGGTGATTGAGATTTTTCAATAACCCTAATAGCTCTCGATTTCTCTGTGCATATATACCCTTGCAGGGTGTAATACAATTTTCTTCAAATGTGTGAAACAAACTAAAGGAGACACCTCAGACACTAAAAAAAAATATATCGTTTTATTAAGATCAACACCTTAATCACCTTGTGAGTCTTTATAAGCATTTCTTTTCGTGCATCCGTCTGCCTGTTTCTCGGTTTTACAGTTATCGACTTCAAACTTAGCACACATATAATTTTCACGTATGTAGTATTGGGACGGTTAGGATCGGCCGACTGAATTCTCTAACGCCCATAACTTGCTGTTTTCCATACATTTGGGATTTTCGAAGTAAGAAGTACAACCTACCGGATTTTATAAAAATCGGCTGACTATATCCTTTACCTGGAATATAACTGAACGATCGGAAATGACTCAATTTTCTTAAATAAATAAGGTCAGCACTTCATACACATTCTACACGTCTACTTTTATATACCAACTGGGATATAGTTACTTGCGATATACATCTGATCTTAACTAAAAGGGTATATGCAATTTGGCTCCGCTGGAATTCATTTTCTTTCTTGTAACATTTCTTAATAAACCGCAATATACAGGGTGAGCCATCTTCAAAAGACTTTTTTCAAAAAAAGCACAGAAAAATCTGTTTTTATTTTTTTTTGTTATAAAATCATTTTATTCGGACCAAGTAGATATGTTGCACTTTTTGAATAGAATATCTCGTAAGAGGTTCCACTTTTTGAATAGAATGTCTCGTAAGAGGTTCCTTTAAGCATCTGCGGCGTATTGAGCCCGTTTTGCATCGTTTGCATCGTTTTTGGTAAGAATTTCGGCCGGAATAGCAGCAATTTCTTCGCGAATGTTTATTTATTTTTATACCCTTGCAGAGAGTATTATAATTTTGTCCAAAAGTGTGCAACGCAGTGAAGGAGACATCTCCGACCCTACAAAGTATATTCATGATCAGGATCACATCCTGAGTTGATATGAGCATGTCCGTCTGTCCGTCTGTCTGTCTGTTTCTACTCAAACTAGTCTCTCAGTTTTAAGGCTATCGTCTTGAAACTTTGCACACACCCTTCTTTCCTCTGCACGCAGTATATAAGTTCATAAGGATCGGCCGACTATATCCTATAGCTGCCATATAACTGAACGATCGGAAATGACCCAACTTTCGTGTTTTAGAAGATAGAAAGCTGGAATTTAGTACAGATTCTATTTTTGGTCAGTTCATCCAACCTACCAAATTTCATATGGATCGGCCAACTATATCCAATGTTTGCGATATATATCCGGTTTTAACTGCAAGGGTATATCAACTTCGGCTCCGCCCGAAGTTAGCTTTCCTTTCTTGTTTTTATTTATTTCGCCAACGGATAAATCATGGCTACAAAATAACGACTTACAAACTAATAAATAATAGTACAATACTAATACAAACTTAATAAGTGCCTGATTAACAAGCGTTTAAAGACAACCTCATAAGAGCCCCACTTAATTCGGAGGCTAGGCGGCAAAGAGTTAAAATATGAAAGAGCCCGTGCTAGTGTACGCCGATCCTTCAACGTGCAAAAATTGCAATTTTAAAAATTTCTTCTGGAGTCGCTCTATTCTGTTGGAACGAACTATACAAGCCGGATTCTAAAAGAATTCAGCTTCGACCGAATAAATACAGCATAGACGCTGAGGCTCGAGTGTGGACTTTCGAATTGGTGAACGTGCCTCTTCACAAAGCCCAGCATAGCATACGCTTTAGGCAGAATAAAAAATAAATTTGGTGTCGAATAAGACAGTTGTTGTAGTGTTGTTCTTGTTCCAAATAACACAAAATTTGGTGTTGTTCTTCAGTTGATGTAGGGTGGTTGGCTTATTGACGTAAACTTTACACGTTAAATAGCCTTACAAAAAAAAGTGGGGCCGTAAAATCCGGATAAATCACCGTTTTTTGACATCAACCGTCCAGGAAAGAAAGACCTCAATAAATCCATAGTAGCCCGATTGTGTGGGGTGGAGCCCCGTTTTGTTGGAACCAATTGTGCTGCATACGCTTCATTCAAACGATTGGCATCAAAAAATTAGTTACCATATTGCGATAACGCTCCTGATTGACAGTAATCGTTCGGCCATCTTGATCTTCAAAGACAGTGACTTTCTCATCATGAAGAGAAGTTTCTACAATTTTCAGTGGCATAAATACGGCAGTTTTTTTTCACCATTCTGTTCAACCTTTATGTGCTTCATCGGTCATGGTCATGATTTTTAACAATTGACTTGTTTTGTTTAATGTTAATGTCAACAATCTGAGAGCGTTCTTGTCGCGTGTACTGTACCATCATAAAAATTGTCTTGGACTCACAGTTCAAATGCGCTATGTTACTACACGATGTGACATCGCTGTCAAAAGTTATAGTGTTTTTTTTATGGTTCCGTCGAAAATGGGCCACCCTGTACTTATAAGTAGAGTTAATAGGGTTGAAAAAAAAATTCAATCATAAAGGAACGATGTTAACACTGTTTTTTCTCGTGTCAATGCCACAAGGTAATTAGGAATTTCAATCCAATGCAATTCAGTTAGGTGCACACAGAAAAGGGTAAATCCCAAATTTAATTACTGTTACTAGCGCTTTGATTTCACTTACTTGTAAGCGTACTCCAAATTATCACCACATCCACCCCAAGTCCAATCATCGTGAAGCTGTTTGGGTCGAGAACCTCGCGAACAACCACAGGAAGCCAATTGACCATCTCTACATGCTCGAGCTATAAAGCTAGTTACAGTTGCAGCTGCCAGAGCATGAATAAAAGCCATTTCAGGTGCCGCTAAAAATATACAATTAATAGTAAGGTGATTTATTTAAAATAATACCTCGAATTTTATACCTTTTCAAGGGTTACATTTACACGCAGTGAAAGAAACCAATCATGTAATATTCATTAGATTTACATATTTCTTCAGGGTCACCTACCAAGGGTATGTGTTGGTTACCGCTCAATCACAATTTTTCACATACATTCTTTCACATTCTTTTCTTTCTATGTGGTATAAAAGCCAGAATGGATATATACAATTCAACAAGCAGCTATTCTATAGCTCCCATATAACTAAACGACAGTGAAAGTCATAACTTCAAACTTTGCACATATGCGTCCTTAAACTTTGCACACATCTTTCCTTCCTTTGGACGCAAGATATATGACGGCAGAGCAGGTTAGGCTGACTATGTACTACATCTGCCATATAACTGATTGATTGGACATGCCATAGTTTTGTTTCTAAAGGGCTATAAAATTTGGTTGATCCGAAATAATCCACTATTGGTTTTTAAACCCTTGAAGACTGTATTATAGTTTTGTCAAAAGTGTGCAACGCAGTGAAAGAGACATCTCCTCTCCAAATTCTATGTCACCAAACTCTTGTGATTTTACCTCGTTGGAACCGAGATTGGAGATTGGAGTCTGTAGTATAGAGAGTTTTCTGCGTAGCCCCTAGTATTCCTATAGATGAGTGTTATTGACAAGATTAGTTTGAAGTTGTGGACGAAGAAGAGGTTGAAGGTTGGTCTGGAAGTTCGACTGGAGTGAACTTGGCAATTTTTTTATCTTTAGGGTACTAGGCTGATGTTCTTGGACCAAAACTCTGGCTAAAAACTGAGTAAACAAATCGTCTTGCACATTAATGCACACGAATCTTGAAAAAAGAAATCTTGTACATTTATATTTGTAATTACTTATGTCCTCCACCTTTACATCGGCTTTTGTTTTGACTTTGATAAAAGCCGGGAAACCGTTCGCTCAAAAAGAAGGATAGAGTTTGATGTATGTTTTACAAGAAACTGATGTTATAATGAAATTTTTTTGACGATCGGACAACTATATCCGATATTTTTTATATACATCTGATCATAACTGCAAGGTAAATCAAGTCCTCCCGAATTTAGCTTTATTTTCCTGTTTTAAGTTCATATTATAAAAACAATTCCACTCTTTGCAGAAAAAAATAATAAATTTAATAATGTATCGTTACAAATATAAGAAATGCGTCAATGTAAAATTGAAACTTTGAAATTTGAAAACGTGAAATTCAAACTTTGTTTGTAGTTTTTATACCTACCCAGTTTATATAATATAGGCGGACACGATACACGCTGTCAGTCCGTCTCATTCTGCCCAAATTAATCACAAAGTTTTTTGTTTATTATTACTATAAGTTTTGCGACTAAAACTACGTTTACCATCCGAAAAGCTTATATCATTAGCAAACGTGAATGTTTTGGGCTACTCATATGTGAGGAATTAGTGTTTTTAAAGAATACATAGAGTGTGTATTCGACAATACAGCCTCGATGGACAATTAAATACATGGTAAAATTCAATCAGGAATCTAAGGGCAATTGAGTCCATTTATTTCATTGTTCTTTGGTTGAAGATAAATCAATAGTTATTTAGAACGTGGAGATATGCCTGGCGATCTGTTGATTTCGCACTGTGTAATAAGTAAAGTTGTTGAAAAGAAATATAAAATATAAAAGTGAGCAAATTATATAAAAATGGAAAATAGGCCACTGGACCAAGTAATCATAAATATCAATAGTACGTTTTCAATGAGCTTAACTCTTAATCGAAACTCGATTGGAGACGAAAATATTAAAATCGGAGGTTTCTCCTCGAATCCAAGACAGAGCCACAGTAGTATCGCACCAGAAAAAGTCCTTCCCAACGTAGAACTTCAACTGTGCTACTTCCGACATAAGTCGAGCCAACAACTCTGCTCCTGATAAATCAAGCTTCGGCACCGTAACAGTCTTCAAAGGCGCAACTCGGGACTTCGAGCACAGTAAATAGCTTGCAGATCCTGCGCCCTTGGACACGACAAAAACGCAAGCTCCATATGCCTCAATGCTGGCGACACAGAATCAATGAATCTCTTCACCTTGGATTTCGATGTTTGTACCCATCTAGGGAATTCAGCCCGCTGCGCACTGGCAGAGCTCAGATGGTACAAATCATATCCCAGTCGGAGTGAAAAGCTTGAGGAAAACTTTCATCCCAGCACAACGGCACGGAGAAAGATTTTTGCCTTCGCAATAAATGGACCGACAAGGCCTAAGACATGGGTTACACAGCCGAGCGACTGAAGACAGAACGATACGCCTAGTGGGCTTTGAGGTTGACTAAATATCTTCAAACGAAAATAGCAAGTGGTCAGTTGCAGGATTCAAAGCGAGACCCAGAGTCTTTGTGAAATTGATGCCAGCATCGAACTTTAAAGACTCCCGATCTTCTTTAGGCACCTTATCCAGCACGTCAGCAAAATTGGAGCACCACTTCCTTAACCGAAATTGGCCTTAGGCGAGGATCCCGGATCTTTGCGGCTTCATCTAAAGAGTCGCCTCCGGAAAGTAGATTATCCACATAAAAGTCGCGAAGCAGAATTTCGGACTCTTTTGAAAACATTAATTGCTCATCCTTTACCAACTGATGCATTGGCCAAACTGATAAAAATAAGACAGGCTTCGTTCCATAGGTGACAGTATCAAGCTGTCATGAAAGGAATCCAACTTTGGTCGGAGCCGAAGTTTATTTACCCTTGCAGTTAAAACCGGATAGATATCGCTAAAATCGGATATAGTTGGCCGATTCTTATGGGAATATCATAATATAACCAATTTATTACAATACAAAATCTAAAAAAAAGTCCCAAACTTCTGTATTCAAGAACACTTATGTTGGTATTTTTACCAAATACCATTTCCAATCGTTCAGTTATATGCCAGCGATAAGCTATATTCGGCCGATCTTGGTGGGTAACTTGGTGGGTAGGATCAACAAAGCCAAAATAAAATTTGTACAAAGGTTCAACTTTCTGTCTTCAAAAACACGAAATCTGTGTCATTTCCGATTTTTCAGTTATATGGCAGCTATAGGATTAGCCGATGAAATTTGGAGGGTCGTATTATTTTGTCAAAATCAGCATTCGTACAAAATTCGAACTCTCTAACTCTAAAAACATCAAAGTTATACCATTTCCGATCAATCAGTTATATGGCAGCTATAGGATATAGTTGGCCGATCCCGGCCGTTCCGATTTATATACTGTGTGTCCATAACTTTAAAACTGAGAGACTGGTTTGCGTAAAAACAGACAGACAGACGGACATTCTCATATCAACTCAGAAGGTGATCCTGATCAAGAATTTATATACTTTATAGTTTGGACTTTTGGACAAAATTATAATACCCTCTGCGATGGTATAAAAACTTGCATCTCATCCTGGGTGGAATCCCGCCAATTCACTAAAGATAGCTGCTCTCAGAAAAAACCCTGACGCAACGATACGTTTTGCAAATACCTTCAGTAATGGCCACCTAATGGCATCGGAACCTTAACAGAAAATGTAGCAACTTTGATAACATCGCTGCGACCTTGAGCAACTAGTGCATTAGCAGTGGACGGTGCATTAGCAGTGAATGGCTGACGTGGGAGAACCAACCAAAGGCTGGCCGCTAGAAAACTGCGATTCCAGAAAATGCAGCAAGTTGTGATGCCGCCTTCCACAACTGCGACAATTAGCAGCGAGGCAGTCGGATGTGATGGCCCCTTTTGGAGACACTTCCCAAAAAGCCCGAGCGTGGCATCACCAAGGCGGATCTCAGTGGGCATTGAGAGAAATCGGGGGCATGCAGACATTACATGGGACCATCCACCGCATAAAGTACAGGCAGAGGGAAGCGAATTAGTAACAATAAAAGATGATACACTTTTACTTTCAGCCATGGCCACATCCATAGCCTCCAGCGTCCTACACCGCTGCTCCTAAAATTCGGCGATCGACTCCCAAGTAGGGATGGCGTCTGAACTTGCTGGTAGCTGGATCCAACCTTTGAAAAAAAAAACCTGGACGATGATGCAGCTGGCAATCTGATTTGACGAACCGAAATTATTTAAGGCTCGCATATGGGCATTTAATTTGTCCGAAAGACCTCATAGAGCTGCTATTGAGCTACTTTCCAAGAGACTGAGGCCCAGAATCTCGTTCACATGCGACTGAAATATTAAGCGACCTCATAGTACTCGTCGGAGACTTCCAAAGAACGAACTGCTTCGAAAGCGGACTCCCGAAGGCAAGATTGCAACCTTAGCAGCTTTTCAACTTTACTAATTCAAGGATTGCTGCCGACGATTGTAGGGAAAATCGAGTAGACCTCAGGCCATTTCCGAGAACGCACCGCTAAAGATAGGGAGAGGCAACGCTTGAAAACTTTGACTTAATTCCGGGTCAACCTACAAGGTGGACATTCCTTTGTCCAGGGTAGAGTGGGCAGCAATTCGAGAAGACCGAAGGGTCGTCTCGTGCTCGATTTCGACATGCATCGTCGCCACGAGCCTTGAATTCACTGAACATGGCGACTATCTGGCCTGTCGCACGTGGAGCATGGCATCCACCTTGTAACAGGCTGAAAAGCTCCTTATATTAAGTTCCGACCAAGCCGAAGTAAATAATTCCGGCGCCAAAATTTTACTTTGCATTGTGTTTTCTTGGCATTGTAGTCTCCTGTTGCTGTGAAATCTCCTAGTGAGTTGAAAAACTGCATAAACTCATTTTCAGCCCTGTTTGTTTGCTTGGCATTGTAGTCTCCTGTTGCTTTGAAATGTACTAGTGAGTTGAAAAACTGCATACACTCATTTTCAGCCCTGTTTGTTTGCTTGGCATTGTAGGTGAAGCGTGGGTGGCAGTATACGGCGGCTAGTGTAAGTTTGTTGCCAGTATTTAGTTTTATATCTTTATAGATGTGGCCTGTAGGTAGTTTTTAAAAAATTA